TCAGAGTTCCCAGCTATAATTAGCAAGCTCAGTCCCGTCACACTGACAGCGCATCTCTGTCCCAGCACTTACATCATAACATCATACTGTATTTATATATTAACTTGACCCCAAGTGTATATTCTCTTCAGGTATTATTCATCCTTACACTGAAGCTCAATGAATAATAAATTATTGAGTTAATAACTTTAATATATATGTAAGAAATAGAAAAAATAGCGAGATAATACTAAAAAATATATGAATTGAAAAAGAAGAAATAAAATTCTGCCTTTTCACAGACAACATAATTGTCTTCATTGAAAATTCTAAGTAACTTACACAAAACTGCTAGAATTAATAAACGAGTTTAGCAAATCACAGGATAAAATATAAATATACTAAGAAAAAAAAAGCTTTATTTTTTCTCTCCATTCTAGCAATGACCAAGTCTGTATTAATCATGTTTTTAAATTTTCTGTATTTCACTCTATTTTGACATTTTGGGGGCCTTGCCGCCTGGGAAGTGAACGACCTTCCTGTGAATACACCTTTCACATACAAGCCAGCTAATTCTGACTCCTAACTATCTCCTTTATCTAATTTCCATACACCAAGAGAATATTTCCCCAGGGCCAAGTACAGTACAACTTGAGGCCACCTCTCTAGCCCAGAGCCCACTAAAATTATTCAAACTCTCCAGTTCTAAGTTTGTGCCAACTTGCCTGTCCTACTCCCCTGATTCCTTCCTGCAGAGAACAATGTAAAGGCTCTGGGCTATGGTTTCCCCTTGTCCTTTCTGCCTCCTGATTGATCCAGCTACTTTCCATGAGACTCTGCATGGCATGTCCTACTTCTTGTTTCTAGAAAACTATAAACTTTCTCCTTCTTGGCAATAATTTCTGTGCCTACTTGTCTAAATCCCAGGTACATTTTAATATATAGTGGAATTCAAAATTAAAATTAATACCTTTTACAGTAGGACCCAAAACTGTAATTTTTAGGTATATACCTAAGAAAACGTGTGTATGACCTGTATGCTAAAAACCTCAAACACTGATGAAATAAATTAAAGAAATACAAAGGTACAGTAAGCGTATGGACTGGAACACTGAAAGAAATGGGAAGATTGTTAAAAGGTCAGTTCTCCTGAAATTGATACATAAATTTAATACAATTAAATTAAAACCCTAGCAGGAATTTCTTGTAGGGATTGATAAGTTGATTCTAAAATTTTTACATAAAAGCAAATAAGTGAGAATACACAAAACGACTTGGGAAAAAAACAAGTTTGGAGGCCTCTACCTGATTTCAAGACTTAGGATTAATCTATGTAATTAAGATAGTGTAATATTAGCAAAAGGACTGACAAACAGATCAGTGGTAGAGAACAGAGAATCCAGAAAGAAACCCTTATCAATATTTATTTCTGAAAAGTTACAAAAGCAATTCAATTAAGAAAAGATAGTCTTTTCAATACATAGTGTTGGAATAATTTAACACCCCTGTGCAAAAACACACAAAGAGACACCATGACTTATACCTCACATCTAAAATATAATGATAATTCCAAGTGGGCCAAAGACCTAAGTGTAAGAGGCAAAAGTTGTAAAAAACAAACAAACAAACAAACAAAAAAACAACCAAACTCTTTGTAACCTCAGGTTAGTCATGTGATTCATAAAAGAAAGTTGGTAAAGTAAACTCCTTCAACCTTAGAAACTTTGCTCTGTGAAAGAAACTAAGAGAATGCAAAGATAAGTCACAGACTGGGAGGAAATATTTAGAAATCACATTTCTGACAAAGAGCTTGTATCTGGAACACATAAAGAACTCTAAAACTCAACAGGAAAGAAACAAACCATTTAAAAGGGGGCAAAAATTTTGAACAGACTCTCCACTAAAAATGGAAAATAAGAGAGAAATGAAAAATAACATGAGAAAAAGCTCACCTTCATTAACTAATAGGAAAATACAATTTAAAACCATAGTAAGACACGGCTATACATCTTTGTCTTTGTTTTAGTCAGACTGAAATTTTCTTCAATATACCATACATCACTCTGCCCATCTTCTAACCTTGCCATGTTAATCTGGCTCCTTCTCCTTCCCCCGTTCACCTGCCAATTCCTACTGATCCTTTAAGACTAACTCTTAATTTAGGCACCATTAATTCTAAGAAGTTTGTCCTTTGACCTCACCCTCACTCCCCACATCTGGGTCTGAATTTGTGGCCCTTGTAATAGGTGATGACGGGCCTTCCGTTTTACCTATCACCTCATCTATCAAATACAGAGTGTTCACTTCTTTAATTAGAGGTTTTAGTCCTCTTAACTCTGATCTCCATGAAGTCAGACTCTGTCTTCTTCAAGGTTATATCCCCAGAAATTAGCACATTAAAAATATAGTTGAATGAGTAGATAAATTCATATAAGAAAAGTTCCATGCTCCTTCATGTAACCTCTGTCTCTGTTTGACCCACCTTGATCTCAAACCCCCTTAAGTTTCTCATAGCTGCCAAAATAGTCTGTCAATCCTTAGTTGTTTGCTAATTAAAATCCTTTTTCCTTCATAAGAGGAAGGGCTGGTTTCTCTAGGTAGCTTGTTGAGCTGACCAAAATTGGACACCCTGGCCTCGGAATTACTATCCTTAGCCTTAGGTGTCCTCAAATGATAATTTTGTGTCATGGGTACATTGGTCTTATGGAGACAATGTCAGACATGACACCATGAACACAGTTTCAGCTGCTTGGTACTTAACTATAAGACGTTGACTTCTGAGTCTCCTGGGTGGCTCAGGCAGTTAACTGGCTACCTTTAGCTCAGGTCATGATCACAGGGTCCTGGGATGGAGTCCTGCATCAGGCTCCTTGCTCATCGGAGAGCCTGATTCTTTCTCTGCCTGCAGCTTCCCCTGCTTGTTCTCTCTCCCTTTTTTGACAAATAAATAAATAAAGTCTAAAAACAAAACAAAACAAAACAAAAAAAAGACTTCCTCTTCTGCCATTATGTTGGAGGTCTGTTCCTAAGTGTGATCCGTTGGTTGTTTCAAGTCACCAGCTTTCTCAGCACTGTAGGTGCTGCTAACAAAGGATGCTGTTTGTCTGTCTTTATCTGCATGTGGCCTGAGATGAGCATACGTGCCAGTCCCTCCCTGAGTTACAAAAGTTGGAAACACAAGGTGACATCATTATCACGATAACATCCAGTGTTTGCATGTGCTTCATCGTCTTAGCCCTCTTATGTAAGGTTAGTGCTTTGGGGGGCACTAGGACTGGAACTTGATTTTATGGTACTTATAACACTGTTTGGAGTATATTAGAAGCTTCATAAATGTGATTCACAAATGGATGGCTTTAAAATTGATGACAAAATCTTTTTATTTCTCCACCCAATATGCTTCGCTTTAAGGTTCAGGAAGCCAAAGTCAGTTAATTCTAGACTTGAGTCTTCTGCTGGCCATGAGACCTTAAAGCCACTGGAGAACCCATGTCACCTTGGTTTTCTTCTCTGGGAAACAAGATGCTTTCACCCAAGCTGCATGACTCACATGATGATGTGAGTGTGGAGAATACAGGGGACAACAAGTGTGTGAGTGTGTGTGCTGCCGTTGCCTCCAACGTGGAGAAGCAGCTTCATAAAGAATTTACTCCATGTGCCAAAAGGTGAAAGTTGGTGTACTTCTGCTTTCTTATCTTTTGCCTTCAGTATAAAAAAGGAAACTCCCCAGAGGAAAATAAAGCACACTTTCAGGATTGTTGCTTCAAAACCCTTACGAAAGATGTTGACTTGTCCAGTTATCTCCGTGACAGAGAGAACAGAAAAGTGTCTCTGAGCCAGGTTGATGCTGTGACCCTGAAAATAAAGAGGTGAACCTCTTGACAATTAATTGAAGTAAAGAATTTTCTTCACTGTGGTTTTCCAAGTCTTCCACTTCTGAAAACTTCTGGTTGTGAGAGAGAAGTCAAGACTTGGGCCAGTGAACGGAGAGTCACTGAGAAACATCCCATCTTACAGGGTTGGGGGAGAGATGTGGTCTAGAGAAGTCTGTGCACTGACTTCAATGGGGAGTGAGGAGTTGGGGAGTCAGGGCCACCCTTTGTTTATTCTAGAGGAAGACTGAGCTTGGGGTGTGGGAAGGAAGACTGAGCTTGGGGTGTGGGAAAGATTTCTCCTGGTGTGTAAAATGTCTCACTCAGGAGATGCTGGGCAGGAGAATTGGAAATAAATAAATAAGCATTCTGAAGAATGCAGTTCATGGAATTACAGATGATGGAGAGCACGTGCTCAAAACCACTGCATCTTGTGTGAATACATCAAGCCAGATCCCGACCAAACGCACATAGATTTATATACACGGAGCAGCCAGCAGCCAACAGCGTCTAACATTTCAGTTCTCTATGCATCTTGGTTGGCTGTGCAAGGAGGGATTTATTCTTTGCTTCCTTCCAGTTCTAGCATCCTGATACTGCGTGCAGTTTAGTATGAAACACTGTTTGAAAGCTAGTCTTGTCCAACAATAGATTGGGGGGGGGGCGATGTGGAGGGGTGGGGGGTAGTATTTTCACCCTTTGCATTTGTAATTACAATGTTTGTTTTGTGTTTTTGCGGTGCAGACACAGGATGGTGCCCAGACATGTGTGAGTGTTCATAACTGTGTATAGGGTAGGTGGGGAAAGTGTGTAAGACAGAGGCCAAGAACACTTGTCATCCGGTACCTGCTAGGGTGTCTCTACCAGATCCTTTCCGGACATACTGTTTGCTCCGATACAAAAGGGCCAGTGGGCCGGGGCCGGTGCTGGATATGCCCAGTATGCCTGCTGGGTGTAGGAAGGATGGGGCCGGCGGTAACAAGAATCAATATATATTTACGGCGGGGGCAGGGGGGGGGGGGCGGTGCGCGGAGGCTGCAGGGCGGGGCAGCGCTAATGAGAGCAAGCCCAGCTTGTGGTTGGTTCGGGAAGTCTGGTACCCACAGAGGAGCAGGCAGGGAGGGAGGGGATGCGGGCGGGAGGATAAAGCGATGAAGTGTGCTGCGTTACCGAGCATCAGGCGCCGTTGTGGCTGCCCGAATACGGTGCGTCTCTGACCGAGCCGGCCCAGTCCTCGCGCGTACACTACCGAGCAGCGCGCGCCTCTCGCCGTGGCCCTGGCGGCGGCTGCCGCTCGCCGCGAGCCCCCGGAGCGCTGCGAGAGCGGGCGGGCGCCCCGGTCCCCCGGCAGGTGCCCGGCGCGCCATGCAGGGCACGTGCGCCCCCCGGCTCTAACCTGCGCGCTGACTGGAGCATGATCTGTGCCCAGGCCGGGGCTGCCAAGGTAAGCGAGCGCTTTGCGGGGACTCTGCCTGCCGCCCCTTCCCCCGCCCTTCTCTGGGCGGCTTCCCCGCCGCTCCCGAGGCCCCGGCAGCGCCCTCCCTCCCCAGGGCCCGGGATCCACCCTCCTCCCCACCCTCTCGCTTCTCCCGCGAGGTTCAATTGTCAGCGTGGGTCGTGCCGCCGCCCGGGCCGGGCAGGCATCCCGGGGGGCGACCCCGGCTCGGGTACGGCAGGCACACCGGGCCCTCCTGCGGGGCACGGAGAGAAACAAAGAAGCCCCCAAGCGGGTTGGTGGCGCCTCCCCCGCCCCCCGGCGCCCTCCCAGCGGCGAGGAGGTGTCAGGGGAGGGGGCGGAGAGACCTACGTAATCCCCCTTCCTGGCCCACACCCACCCCTTGCGAACCAAGGCTCCGAATTTGGGCTTTGCCTCGGGTTCCCTCGTAGACAATTGTGTCCCATGCAATGCCGTGGTTAGCCGAGCGAGTCCCCAGCCCCGCGCGAGCTTGCCAGTGCTCTCTCATGGGGCGCGGGGCAGGTCGGGGCCGTGCTCCCCTGGGTGGTGGCAGGCTGCGAGGATGCGCGGTGTGGGTGCTGCTCCAGCTCCTCCCTGTCCCCGGCCGGCTGCACCGCTCAGCCGGGCCTGCCACCTGAGTTTTAGCGGGAGCAGCCCGTTTCGTCGCCTCGCGTATTGCGACCCGCACGCAGGCGGGGAGGGAGCCACTGGGAAAAATGCGCCCGGTCCATTTTTAGCTGGAGGTGCGCTTCCTTCTACCCCTACATTCCCGGGCCGTGGCAATGCAGCAAAATCCGAGGGCTCGAACAATGTGGCCCCTCCATCCCCCGCTCTGCCAGTGCCTTGTGATCGCTCTGCCGTTTTGACGTCTCGGCCACTTGGCAGATTTGCGGAGTGTGGGTGCGTGGTCTGTCTCTCTGTCTTGCACACAGAGACCATAACTTCCCTGCCCAATTTGAGCGCGTGGGGGGAGCTGGCAGGGACACAGGCTGCGGAGATGCCGGGCTTCCTGTGGTTCCGGGCACAGAGCGGCCCCTGTCTGCATTGAGCTGACACCAGACAGCATGTGGGGATTTTCCTAGTTGCTGAAGATATTTGACGTTACTATAGTTTTGCGCTTACTTCTCTTGGGATCTGCAGTGGTGCAATTCTCCCCTTGTTTTTATTTTTTTTTTTTTCTCTTTGAAAAGATAACAAGGCTGTGTTCAGCAGAAATGGAAACAGGAGGAGCAGCCTAGTTCAAAGACTAAGGGAGGCATCTTCTCTCTTTTCCTGGGATTTAAACGCGATTTAGGAGGGCAGATGCCCTACCTGAAAAGGCCAGACTTTAAAGACCCAGGCAGTGTCGTGGTCCAAGGCGTCTCAAAGCAGGTGGCCAGATCTGCATTTCTCATCAGCGGACTCGCGCCGGCTGTGGCTATTACGGTAATTCGTTCTAGATCGGGGATTCATTTTGAAAATGTGTGTTTTCCACTAAGAAGGGATTAGAGTCCAAATGCCTACCCTGTGTGTATGAACGTGTGTGCGTGCTTGGAGCAAAAGAGCGTGGCAGAATTCCCTGCTGCCCCTCACCTCTGTTTGCCGCCTCCTCTGGAATGTGGCATGGAGGGGGGGGGAAGGTAGCACTATTTTAGTTCCTAGACCCACAGGCAAATGGAACTTTAGAGTGTTTCATTTAATAAACCATGTTCTGACTAATTCTGGAGTCCCAGTCTAGGGCAGGTTAGCAGCTTTGTGGAATGACAGTTCATTTTGTCTCAGGTAGTTATTTCATGAAGGCAAATTGCCCAAGTTTGTTTAGATTGTGACATTATTGACTTGGTTGGGAGACCACATTCTGAGCTGGCACAGCCTATTAATGGATCAGTACAGAGACACTGCAGCGCCTGTGACTTGTGTCTGTGCCGTCATTTGCTTCCCTTAGCACTTCTGGCTTTTAAAGAAGGGTGTTTTTAAAAGATCATTTAAGCTTTAGTCTCTGTGATGCCTCCATCAGATATGATTATCAATGCAGGGAGGACTAAAAGGACAGATGTGATTATGGGAGGACAAGCCTCTGCCATCTCCCCTCCTTATCAGTGAAGTGAGGAAGTTGGACTGGCTGATTTCTGGGGCTCCTTCCAGTTCTAGCATTGTGTGATAATGGTAGAGGAGTAAGAAAAGTTACCAAGTTTATCAAGGCCAATAATTATAGCCCAAATTATGCAAACAACAAAGGGACAGATAATATAATTTATGGTTTGTTTTAACACCTTGCAGTTTGTTTTAACTCTGGTATCTGCATTTTCTTCTAGATGAAATTAGCCAATGACTCAAACAGGTCAAATTTGTTTGCTTTTATTCCCTAGAGCAAAAGATTTGGTAGGGTCTGGGGTACCTAGAAGAATACTGGGTAACCAATTTTCTCCTTGATTGTGAATTAGGTCTTTATTACAGTCTCATCTTTTGTAAGTAATGGACAATATAGCTTATTTCCAATGATTGTTTTTTTTTGTTTTTAATGAAAGACTCTAAGTGGCTGTTTCATTGGCAATTGGTAATAGCGTCTGACTTACTTTCCCTGACAGAATTTAATATTGTTCACAAAACTTGTTAGCACTGATGCTCATTATAGAAATGAGGCAACCATTATGCTAAGGCAAGCAAAGCATTTTCATGTGCTTGTAGTAATTTCTACAGTTTGGGAATGGTTGAGGTATATGGTCATCGATTTATGCTTAACTAATCGATTTTCCACTGTACTGTGCTCATTTGTTTTAAAGTTACAATTATAATAACATCCGGGACTAAGGATACCTGCCAGGCGCCATGAAGTACCCCCTCTCCTGTTTCCATGGCCTTCTCCTTCATACCTCTGAGGCAGCTCTTATCATACTGCAGTTACAGGAGGTGTGAAAGGACCACAGCCCCCTTGAATGTGCTGCGAGCACTTTGAGGACAAGGACATTGTTCAATTCATCTCTCATCTCTCTGGCACATTGCACTTCGCCCAGGACAGGGGTATGTTCTCAGGAATGTTGGTTGAGTGCATTTCAGGTCATAACAATGCCCTCTACTCTTTTAGGCAGGAGGTAGGTAGGAATTCTTCCCTTCGTGAGTCAGATGGGCCGATCGGAGGGCTTATGTAAGCCTCTGAGGGAACAGGTGAGCCAGGACTCAAATCTGTGCCTTCCCTCATGCTGCCCCGGAGAAAGGCTCCCCCGGCTCTCGGGGAGAAACCACAGAGATTGCAAGACTGCCCGCTTGGGTTCTTTCTTACTTGAAAAACCTGGGTTATCTTTTGATAAAATTGATCTGATAGCTGCTCGGTTCTGTCTTACTGTGGCCTTAAAAGGGAACTTATTCAGCCCCTGAACTCCAGCCCACAATTAGACGGTGAGGGTGAGCCCCACTCTGCCACTTCCTCTCTAAGACTGGTTCCACACCCACAGTTTGCTCCGATGATGGACTTATCTAGGGAATGCCCCTGGCGGAGAGTTGTTCTGTTGGAATCACATTGTAACCTCTGAAATGAGCCCACAGCTAGACCAGAGACAACCATCATTGCTGGGCCACCAGCGATTTCTACGCCAACAGGTGTGACTTACAGACAGACCCCTTGCTTCCATCTGGTGACCTCTTTACCTTTTCATCCTGAAAAGCAGGACGGGTTACTATTAGGAAACCAGGAAGTTCAAATCCACATGCTTTCCTATAAGGCAGCCCTAAGCATGTTTGACACTCATGGACTTTTAGAGAAAACAGTGTGGAATGTTCCACGTGGCTTTTTTCAAGTCACTTTCCCTCTCTGAGGTTTGATTTCCTCTTCTTTATTTTTTTTAAGATTTTTTTATTTATTTATTTGACAGAGAGAGAGAGAGATCACAAGCAGGCAGAGAGGCAGGCAGACAGAGAGGGGGAAGCAGGCTCCTTGCTGAGCAGAGAGCCCGATGCGGGCCTCGATCCCAGGACCCTGAGATCATCACCTGAGCTGAAGGCAGAGGCTTTAACCCACTGAGCCACCCAGGTGCCCTCCTCTTCTTTAAAAGTAAGGAGTTGAACCAGGTAATCCAAAAGGTCATGTCTAATGCTGTGATTCTGGGATGGTTTTTGTGGATTTACTCAACTGAATTAGAGGGAGACAAAGATTAGTATTAATTATAATTATATCAATATTTACACTTATTTATAAACCTAACTTTGCAGTATGTCTACAAGAAATACTTAAGGCTATGTGTGCTAACCTCTGGGTTATCTCTGTTAACCATATTGTCCATAAGTAACTATCACGGTTCTTTCTTATTTGTAAAATTAGATTTACTATATGAAAGGAAAAATCTGTGGCATTTCTGTTCCCAGTGAGGAGGAAAGTGGATGATCCCCAACTTTTATATAAAATGTCTGTTAGTTTATGGTTTGATAGTCAAGTTTCAAGGACCTAGAGTAAAATGTTTTTATTCTCACCATGGAGTGTGTTTCACAGCTGAGTAACCGTGGCGGTCAGGAGTGTTCCCTGGGATTCATCTAACAATGTTCCCATTGCCTTCTGGTCCCTCACTTTGCTCTTATTTATTTACTTATTTACTTACTGTTTTGTGTTCCTGCCCCTTCTTGAGTTCGGCTGACCTCCTGCCTCAGCCATAACACATTTGGGACTGGTAGCTCCACCCACTCACCCTTACCCGGTTCCACTGGATGCAGGTGGGCGCCTCATAATCTTCCATCTGTCTCAACACTTTCTATCTTCTTAAACTTTTTTTAAAAGATTTTATTTATTTATTTGACAGACAGAGACCACAAGTAGGCAGAGAGGCAGGCAGAGAGAGAGGGGGAAGCAGGCCCCCACGCTGAGCAGAGAGCCCCATGAGGGGCTCGATCCTAGGACTCTGGGATCATGACCCCAGCCAAAGGCAGAGGCTTAACCCACTGAGCCACCCAGGCACCCCTCTATTTTCTTCATAACTGTTGCTTCTCAAGTTAAGATACAATGAGGTTTGGAGGCAGACTAGCTCGTCTGATGATTTTGTTGGACATCAACATGGACTTTCTAATCACTGTGCATTTGTCCTAAAGCCTCCTTCAACACTTTAGGAAACAAAGCAGTATGTTGGTGATTTATATGTCCCATACCATAATATTTGGATGTATGGGTATTTATCGGTAAGTGGTTGTCATGTTCTGTGACCTGGGCACTGTAGAGAAAATGATAAGCAGTCCGTGCACGATGACAATAATGTCACTGCTTATGGGCAAGGTATCATCAAGACCACTAAGCCCCCTGGTCACTAGACAACGACATCTGGATTCCCCATAGCAACCAGGAGATGTGCCCTGTTCACATTATTAGTTGAGAACCCACGCTCTTCCTGATTTGTTGGCCCAAAGCTTGATGTACACAGAGGATTGATAAATAAGGATGTAGTGTACAGACAGACTATTCTGGGGTTACCCAGTATCTGTTGCCTTGCAGTATTTTGGGGAGAATTCAGTGTATGGAACTTAAGCTGGTGTTGTTGGGGTGGGGGGTGCTGGAAAAGGACGCCATCTGTGCCCATAATGACGAATGCCATCATGGAGACTTCACTCGGGGTCCCTTTTATATATTTAGTGGAGCAGATTTTCCCTTTCACACTTTCTAGATCTATTTGGATTGAACAGATGTCAGGGAAATATCATGTGTGTGGAAGGGAAAAAAAGAAGACCAGAATTTACATCCATGGCCAGCGATTGTGATTCAATCACTTTGTCCTTAAACTGACATTCATTTAACTTGCACACATGTTCCCTGTTTTTGCTTTCGGGGTTTAAGTCATGACAGTTTGAGAAACAGAAGTCTCAGTCCTGCAAGTCTCAGTCCTGCAATTCAGTTCAGGTTAAGGGGAGACTAGGGTTGGACACATTAGACCTCGCTTGCTTGCTGTCCGCAGCCACCGCAGCCGTCCATCACGGTCCCTCCTGCAACACACTGACCAGCCAGAAAACCACAGGATGTGATCGATAGGTTTTTACTCTTAAAAGGACTTTCTGTGTTGTTATTCTTAATTCCTTTTACCATCAAAATGTAAGACTACTCAGTTAATAAAATCGTCCCCTCTAATTTGTGCCTAAGTAATTTTTGTGGAAATGAGCTTTCTGAAGTTGAGAAAGAAGTAGTTTTGAGGGTCACCCCTGTCCCTGACAAGGCAAAGGACTGGCGTGTAAAGGGGCAGATGGGAACAAACAGTTGACACAGAAACGTGCTGTGATAGGGGACATTTCAGATGCCTCTCCGGACTCCACACCCCTCCCGGCTGGTCAGTGTTCTGTTCCCTCTTACAGAACACACCTGGACAAAGTTGTCCATGCTGGCTTTCTTTAGTCCCCCTGTGTGAGCTGTGAAAACGTATTTTATTGTGTTTAATTGTTTAATTGACGTTAACAAGATGTTTAACATATCTGCGAATTAT